GCCCGTGCGCCAGACCGGGGGCCGGGCGGTGCTGCCCCCAGACGGTGCTCGCTGGCCCACGGCTGCAGCGCCTTCATCTGCACAGGGCATGTATGTGTCGACGAACAATTTAGTGCCCGTCATTTGAAAACATTTTTCTGTTTTTTGTTTTTTTGTTTTTGAGAACATTGTGGGCTCTCTTACCCTTGGGTTTCAACACAGTATTCTGGAAATAGCAAACTTGCTCTCTAGTCCTCCAGCTTCTGGCACAAGAAGTTTAATTGCAAACTTTGTGAGGCATACATATATATATTTTTTTCTTTAAAATATTTGACTTTGCTTTTAGGACTGCAGAGGAGAATAGTATGAAACAGATAATAATTTATGGCTTTGGATACGCAAGAGCCTATGACTTACGTATAGATATTCGATGTGAAAGAAGGAAACGTTTCTGAAAGTCTGTACAGTGAATTGACTGAGCCTTGCCCTACCAGAGCTAAATAAACATTTTCTGATTTTATCTAGGGATGGAAGAGGAGAACCCTTCCTTCTCTTGCCCTTTCTGAGTCATAGAACTGGAAAATTGCTGTGTAGCCCACAGGGAAGCAGCTGCCTAAACCTTCCTATGAAAATCAGCAAGGCCAACAATCTAAGAAAGTAAGACGCAAATGCCAGAATAGGGCGATAACAGCCATTAATTAGGGTGGGTCTGGATTAGGTCAGTAAGACGGTTCTTTCTGTGCCCTTGAAGTTACCTGTTTTGGCTATGCTGTCTCTTTACTTGTTCGCAAATTACAAACTGCTTTTAGTTTGCAAGTATTGGTAAAAAATGCTCATTGATGCCCCCAGATAGTGGTGACTCTCGATGCCGTCACCTCTCCCACAGTTTTGCTTGGATTAGGTTGCTCATCATGCTCCTGCTGTAGACCTGAGAGGAGTCAGGTCTCACTTTTTTCAGTTTGCTAGGGGGCTTTTGGCCTGGCAGATAGGAAAGCAAGAGGAAGTCTTGTTTTCTGGACTTGGTCTGTGGTATGGTTGTGACGTGAGGAGCAGTGGCTGCTCTTCCTGAGCCTTCACGCCTCCACTCGTGCCTCGCTCACACTGTCCGTCCGAGTCAACAGCTTCATCAGGTAGGTCAGCAGCTTCACCCCGCACAGAAAGGCCAGCACTGGTCAAAGCGTCGCAGATGTGGTTCAGTTTGTACGTAAATACATTAGTTGATGTTGGTCAAAATCCTCAACCGGTACTTTTTCTACCCTCACCCAAGTATTATGTTTACTGATTTTTAGAGAGAGGGAGGGAAAAAGAGAAACATCGATGTGAAAGAAACATCGATCAGTTGCCTGTCATAGGTGCACCAACTGCGGATGGAACCTGGGTATGTGTCCCGACCTGGACTTGAACCTGTGACCTTTCGGTGTACCAGACATTGCTCCAACCAGCTGAGCCACCTGGCCAGGGCTCACCCATTTTTAACAGTTAAACAGTTGGGATGCCTTTTGCCCCAAGTAATAGAAAATCCAGCTGAACCTGGCCAAGAACATCTCTTTGGGCAGTCCTCTCTCCAGAGGAAGTGCTCGTGCACCTCTTCGAATCTCACTGGCTCATCCTGTCCCTTAGGCCAGGGATGCCTTGTGCCAACCAGCTTAGGCTATGTTCCTAAGTCGGCACTAGCAAGGGAGATGGAATTACCCTTACAGGGACATGGACACTCTTGGATATGCGTGTGTTGTGTGGGGGTGGGGGAGGGGATCTTCGAAGTACTTGGGTAGTGTGGGGAGACAGGGTAGATACACAGACATGGGTATTATTAGGAGAAAGGGGGATATAGATGCTCAGAGAGCAGGCAAAGATAACTACTATAGTGGTGATGTTGGTAACTTACACTACCCCTAATTTGACAAGAATTCTTATGAATAATATGATTAGCCATGTATTTCAATGGAGACAGTTTGGAGTAGATAGAGCTTTTAAAGTTAGTTAAGCACATTGGTAAATTTCACATAGAAAAGGAATCTAATAGAAGATGTGATATTGATAATGCCGGAGAATTCCCAATGTAATATTCCATGCTTAGATGAAATTTAATTTTGGGGAAGGAGGGGACTGTAAATTTATAGTGATTATTTTGTTTCTTATTACAGGCTAAAAAACTTAATGGTAACATTTTGAGGGGAAAGTTGAAACAGACAACAGGGGTAATTTGGAATTATGCTTGAATTATCTTTTATTACTTCCAAGGTCTCCCCCCATGTGACTATTGCAGTAAATTAAAATGGCAGTTTTTGTTAGTTTTCCAAGAGAAGGCTGTTTTTTTTTAGTGGGGTGGATGGTCTTTGGCAAATGAGTTGCTTATACATAGAATCTATTAAGTTGGCAAGTATTTCTACATAAAACTGCAGTGTCAGGTAAATAGATGACTGTTCTCTTTGTGAATGAATCATAGTGGAAGTTACTTAAACATTTCTTTAAGTAAAAATCTATAATTGAACTAGAGCTATATATATATACACATCAGCATGGGTGAATCACAAGTATATAAGATTAGGTCACTAAAGCAGAAGCAGCAGAAGAATGTTTACACTCATTTATATAAATTTTAAAAACATGCAAAAGCATTCATATTTTGCTAGTGGGAGTATAAATTGGTACCACCTCTGTAGAGTGTGACAGTATTTATTAAAATTAATCCAGTAATTTGTTTTCTAGGAATTTATCCTATAGTTATATTCATGTGTGTGAAATGAGTTATTTATTGCCATATTGTTTGCAAATTCAAAAGATTGGAAGCAACTTTCTAATAGGACATTAGTTAAATTATGGTTTATTCATACAGTGATGTGTCTTGCAAACATGAAAATAAAAGCAAGAGACTTTATATAATTTAGGGGACAATTTCAAGGTATACTTTTAAGAGGAGAAATGAGGGAGTAGCAGAATGATATGTATAGTATACCTACCATATATAAATATTAAAACCAGGCAAATATGTGTCTAAGTGTAACTGCTTATTTATGAATAAAGTGTCTCTTTAAAGGTACACATGAAACTGCTACATTAGTTGTTCAGGGGAGGGGAGCTAGGTATCGGGACATTTCACTGTGTATCCTTTTTGCACTTTTGAATTGTGTAGTACGGGTATTATGTGTTCAAAGAATAAACAAAATTAAATTTGCAAGAGAGGCACAGGAAAACAATATTGTATTGTTTATAGGTTCAAATTTGTGGGAAACACTGCATTCAAAATAGTGGTTATCTCTGGGGAGAGGAAGGAGAAAGATCTGGGAAGAGTCATACTGGATTTCAGCTGTACTATTTTACTGTTTAATGGTGGGTGAGACATGGATATTTGGTATGCCTTTTGGGATGGCTGAAAGTGTTGTTAAAGGTAGATTTCCCCCCTCAGTCGGGTAGGTCAGTTGGTTGGAGTGTCGTCCTTACACCAAAAAGGTTGTGGGTTTGATTCCCGGTCAGGGCATATACCTAGGTTGCAGGTTCGATCCTCGGTTGGGGCGCATGTGGGAGGCAACTGATCCATGTCTCTGTCTCACATCGATGTTTCTCTTGCTCGCTCTCCCCCTTCTTCCTCTCTCTAAAATCAATGACCATATCTTTGTTGAGGATTAAAAAAATAATAA